AATGCAAGTTATTGTTCGCCCACAAACACGCAGTCACCTCACCACTTTACCATATATTCTAGAATTGTTTTGGAATGTCCTCCCAACATGAAAGACTAAATGAAATGTAAGGATTATTATTAACTATACTAATAAAGACAGAATAAGTGTGTGTGTCTGCTAAGAACTCAATAACTGATTGACGTAGAGACATGATTGATATCTCATCAGAAAGGTCTTGCATGGGCATTTTTTGGGGATCTACTATCGTTGATGAGCTATGTTTAAATTTTTTTTTAAAAATGCTTTAATTAAGCCCCCAAAAAGTATGCATGGTATTCTGCAACAAAGTAGCGACAAACCTTCTAGAGAAGTACATCTAATAAGGACAAAATGTCTGTCTGTGTGTCAGGAGTCCTCCCACTGAGGCCTCCCAACAGGAGTCCTCCCACTGAGGCCTCCCAACAGGAGTCCTCCCAAAAGGATATGTGTGCAAATATATGAACAAGGGATTCTAATGAGTTCAATAGCACATTTCTTAATCTTAAGGGATAAAGATGCCTAAGAAGTGCAGATCAAGCCTTTCAAGGATAAATAAAATGCCAGATGAATGAGAAAATGCTGATTAAATGAAAGCTAGTTACTAAATACTTTACATAGAAACAGGAGTAAGCCATTCAGCCCCTCAAACCTGTTCTGCGGTTCTATAAGACCTGATCTGTACCTCAGGTCCAATTACCTGCCCTTGCCAATTATCCCTTATTACCCTGACCTAACAAATATCTATCCAACTTTACTTAACAACAACAACAAAATTACACTTGTATAGCGCCTTTCACGTTGGGAGGATGTCCAAGGTACTGGACAGACAAAGTTACGGACCCGAGCTGGCGGTCGAGGTGGCGGGCAGGAGGGAAAGCAGAGAGATCGAAAGCACAGTCGAAGAGGAGGGTCTTGAGATGGGTCTTGAAGGTGGCAAGGGAGGGGGCCCGACAGAGGGATTGCAAGATGCTTAAATAAATAATAAATACAGAGGTAGATATCATGTGGTCTAAAACCATTCTTTGTATGAGATGCAAAAAACAAGATCCTGTCTGGCACTATTCATAAAGAGGTCTGGTGTCTGACACATCCTGGTGCCTGACTTAATCACCCATCAACATGCTTAAGAGTATCCAAACCAAGCTGAGAATTCTATGCCTCAGCCCGTCAGCTCTGCACTGGTGTTTTTCTCCACGCAAGTCTAATCCCTGTTCTGCTGTTCCCTCCTCATACTCTTTAATTTATTTTTCCGAACATCCTAATGAGTTTCTTTTTTTAAATAATTTATGGAATGAACTCTGCCAGAAAATTTCACTTCCAGCTGAACTCCCCTGTGTGTAAAGAGAGTGTGAACCTACACTGTGTGATTGAAGCTATCAGTATGGTAAAGGACTGTAAAGTGGTACTTCAGGTAATCAATATCATCCAAGATACCTTCAGCTAACCATGTGTGGACCTCGTCACTGGAGCACTGGTGTTTTCTCAGTACGAGAAGTGTACATCCTGTGTAATGCTCTAGTGCTATTGTATAGTCCTGAATATAGAGTTTATCCCTAATGTCTTCCAACAAAAATAACTTGCATTTATATAGCGACCTTCACACGGGGTAGCATCCCGGAGCGTCCAAAGTTGAATACATCTTGAAGATATTATTCAAAGCGCTCCACAGAATATATAATGAAGTGAATTGACTGCGTATTTTGTGGGCGAAACACAGCAGCCAATTGTGCACAGCAGCGTCCCACAGACAGTCAAGTGACCAAATTATTATTTGGTTATTATTGAGTGACCAAATTATTATTTGGTTATTATTGAGTGACCAAATTATTTTTTTTTGATCATCAAAACAAATCTTTATCTACCAGCTCAATCCAGCTAAGTACCATCTTCTGTCAGAGTGCCTGTCGTGAACCATGTCACTTAATTCCGTTGCCTTCAAATCACCTTCTTGCCCGTGGAGCAGCAGGGTTGACCTGATGAAGGTTGATGGAATCACATTCAAATATGAAGTCAGTAAACAGAAAAAAACAGAAGGGCTTTGAGACTTTTTAACGTATGTTGCTAGACCAAACGGAAGGATTATTGTTGTTATGTTGACAGCTACTCTGAACATTTGTCCGAAGAAATTGTTCACTTCCTTTTGCCATCCTTGATTAGAATAGTGCATGATCTTTCTAAAAATGGATGTGTAGTTAAATTACCTGCGTGTGTATGAAGGTGAGTCATAAAATCTAGTCAAGGAATTCAGCAATTTGTTCGCAAGAGATGTATCAAAATGAAACTTGATTTGGTCCTTGTAAGATTAGTGCTTTGAATAATATTTTATGAACTACTTCGTTGTAACAGCAATATGCATTTGACATAGCAACTTATAATTCATCGTAACATCTCAAAGTGTTTCACAGGATTTATTGTAAAGTATAGTCATTGTATTTTTGTAGTTGAACGCGGCAGCCTGTTTGCACAATGCAATATCCCACAAACAGCCAAGAAGTGAATGATGCAATAGAATACAAATTTACATTTATATTGCCTTTCACTGCAGGAGGATGTCCCCAAGATGTTTAACAGTACTAGCTTGGCACCTGAGCTGCGGGTGGGGTGGGGAAAGACGACCAAAAGCGTGGTTAAAGAGCTTGATTGATGTGAAGAAGGGAGCAAGACAGAGGGTCGCTGAGATGAAATTCCAGAAAGTGGGGGCTGAAAGGCTGGAAGCTGATGGTGGGATTGATAGGGTGGGGCACATGATTCAGGCAGGTACACACTGAGCGAACAGAGCAGCTGGCTTAGTACGGTTTGAGAAGGTCACAGGGGTAGGGTGTAGTGAAACCATAGAGGGATATAAAGATGACATACAGGCAGGGTTCTGATTGTACTGGGCAACTATGAAGACTGTCAATTTATTTAGTGTTCTGTGTGTGCAATGTGCTGTGCACATAAAGTATCCTCTTTGTTCCTATACCTATAGGTTTTGCAAATTTCCTGACCAAAATACATTGGAAAGTCAAGGAGGGAATCCAGTCTTTGTAGTTCAAAATGGGACTGATTTTTTTTTGGGTGGGGGGGAATTGGTTAAGGCTTTTAAGAACGTTCAGTGTAAACTATATCCACTTGGGTTTTGTTCTGGCTTCTCTAATTGCAGATTTGCCATTCATTTAGATGCTCACAAAGTCCCCAGTTACACCAATGGCAAATGAATTTGTCTGCTGGCTGTTTGTCTGTTCTCGCTTTAGCAGTTTACAAAGTGGTTCAAAAATGCATGTCCGGGTGGTTTCTCAGTACATAGACAGTTTTTATCTATTTTTAAAAGAACCTTAAGCCCTGGCTTAAAATATTTAACATCAGTGGACGAAGCCGAGAGGATTAAAACAAAATCAAAAAATAAATGTCTGGATCAACTACTTGTCTGTGTGATCGTGAGTCACCAAAATATATTACGTTCAGTAAAGGATTATTAGCATGCAGTGACCCAAAATCTGAAGGAATCTCCCACTTTAATTTGTTGAGGGTGGGACAGAATATGGAGTCAGGTAAACGTTTGGGTGTGTTTGTTTATTGTTGGGCCCGTGTGTGTTTCCTTTAAAACATTCCACCACCCTCCGCCTCCTGTTTGTTGCGAATGTTACCGGTTGAGCAGTAGTCTTGCAGTGATGTAATTGTCTAATTGAACTACATTGAAAATCAGATACTGAATCCTATATGATAGTTATAACAGAACAAAGTTCCTGTTTGCATCATTGGCAAATTAATTTATTTGCTGGCTAGCAGAGCAATGATCTAGCCATCGTTCTGACCAGAAATAAAGTGGTAGTGGCCTTTGGCATGCACATTAACTTGGCTCCAGTCAGCAGTTGTGATAGTGTTGACTATCCTCCTTGAAGGAAAATAAGTGGAGTCAGTCCCCTTGTTGCTGAGCTGTTCCCTAGCACCTCCTTATCTCTTTGACATTTGCCTACCCCAGTTATTGTTGCAAATTTACAGAGACTGTACAGTGCAGAAACAGGCCATTTAGCTCAACTTGTCCATGCCAGATGTTTATATATATATATATATATATACTCTGTGTATCTACATGCATCTAAATGTGTATCTACATGCAAGTAGGAAACCAGCAGACCCTGATTTTGTGAGCCTTGCACATACGTTTCCTAATTACTATCAAATCGGTTGCCATGTTTCTCCCACAAACTCAGTCGATCCACTTTACAGTATATCCTGTGAAGCTCTTTGAGACGTCTCAATGACGTGTTAAGGCGCTAAATCTAATGCAAGGATTATATTATGATGCTGATGGTAATAATAATCCTTGCATTTGATATAGCTCCTTATCATGTCATTGAGACGTTTCAAAGCTCTTCACAGGATATACTGTAAAGTGGATTGACTGTGCATTTGTGAAACGCAGCCCCAGTTTCGCGCAGCACTGTCTCACAAACAGCCATGGACAAATTTTATTTTGGGGATCATTGGCCAGGATACCTTCCCTTTTCGAATAGTGCCTGAGGGATCTTTAACATCCACCTGAACAGGCAGATGGGACCTTGGAATAATGTCTCATCCGAAGGATGGCATCTCCGACAATGTAATTCCAAGACCCCAAGTTGATCTTCAACTTTTGGACTCTGAGGAGAGTGAACTGAGCTGACACAATTCTGTGGGAAGTAAAGGGTGAGGGGGTAAAGGACAGGGAATTTAGCTGAAGTGATGTGTCATGAGCTGATAAAATTGTGGAACAGGCTCAGTGGGTTGAATTGCTACCTCCTATCCCTTCATATAATTAATGTCAGCCTGATCCTGTTTTCATGTGGCACCTATATCACCTGGAATGGGAACACCACCTGATTTATCTCTCTAACCTGAGTCCAATTGTTGGGCCCCTGCTGCCTCCCTGGCTACTTTGTTTATTTGTCTTTAAATTGTGTGCACGGTGCCTAGATTAAAACATTAACAGATTTTTCTTTGTTTTTTTTTACTTGCAGACTTATGTTGGAGATATTCTCATAGCTATCAACCCTTTCAAGTATTTGCCATTATACGAGAAGACGGTAGGTGTTTGTTTTTTGCTTCCTACACAGCTTCTGTGGTTAAGGTACTAATTATAATAATTAGAATTAGAATTATTATTATAATAATAAAAAACCTTTCACTGATACAGCACCTTTCACGTTGGGAGGACATCTCAAAGTGCTTTGCCCTTTCGCACTGAGTTGAGGAAGAACTTTTTCACTCAAAGGGTAGTGAATGTATGGAACTCGCTACCCCAAAGGGCTGTTAACGCTCAGTCCTTGAACATATTCAAGACTTGAGATAGATATATTTCTTATTGCAAAAGGGATTAAGGGATATGGGGATAAGGCAGGGTTAGGTTATTAGCTGAAGTTGGATTAGAAGATCAGCCATGATTGAATGGCGGGGCAGGCCCGAAGGGCCGAATGGCCTATTCGTGCTCCTACATGTTATGTTAACAAGGGTATAAAGTGCATAGCTCAGAAGTTGTTGAAAAGGAGGAAGAGATAGTAGATCAGGGAAGGAAGTGGAGTGCCTTATAGTAACTGTCACTAGTGTATTGTAAACCAAGCCTTTTTGAGAATGGGAAGTGGTCAACAGTGTGAGGCAATGATGAACATGATGAGGTTATTGCTGAGCATTGCTTAAACTGTGGAGCTCTGGTTGAGTGCACCTGGAGTACTGTATACAGTGTTATTTGCTGTAATACTAGAGTACTGCATGCAGTGTTAATCACTGTAATACAAGAGCCTCATCCCTCGAGACAGTGCAGAGGAGAGCAACAAGGCTCATTTTGTGTTTGGGAGATTAGGCATTGTTTAGGTAGATTGCTCTTTTGCCACCAGGCAAGATGTCTCTGAGGAGATCTTACAGAAGTATGTAATTATTTGGGGAGGACATAGATAATTATATGGGAGGACAAATTTGCAGGGCTACAGGGAAAGAGTGGGGAGTGGGATTGATTTGAATAGCTCTTTTCAAGGAGCTGACACAGACACCTTTAAGGTCATCCATGGCTTTGCCCCCTCCTACCTCTCTGATCTGCTGACTCCCTACCAACCTGCCCGCTCCCTCCATTCAGCGGGCTCCAGCCTGCTCCATGTCTCCTGCCCTACCATCGGTGGCCGGGCTTTCAGCCTCTCTACCCCCACACTCTGGAACTCCATCCCATGGTCCCTTCGCCTCGCTTCCTCTCTTACCTCCTTCAAGACCGGTCTCAAGACCCTTCTCTTTGACTGTGCCTTTAGTCTCCCTTCCACTTCTCTGCCTTCCCTTACCCCTACACCACTCCTCCCCCATGCTTGGGCCCTGACACCTGACTGTTCAGCGCTTTGGGACGTCCTCCCGACGTGAAAGAAGCTCTATAAATGTAATTTTGTTGTTGTTGTTGATGGGCTGAATGGCTTCCTTCTGTGCTGTATAATTCTATGGTTCTAAGATACGGGGTAGAGAATGTCAACCCAGTGAAAATGTTCAGATACATTAAGACAGAGGTATAGGATTACAGAGACCAATTTGGGGCAAATAAGATTGCTACCATTCCTGTTGATGTCATGATACAAGAGATTTGATTCAGCTGTTCTGAATGATAATTGGCCCTGCAGGTGATTTATGTCACCGAACCAGTGGGCAGTCTAGGCATCCGGTTCAACCCCCATATCCGGTCTGTGACCAAGACCGCTTTCTTCCACCTCCGCCACATTGCCCGGCTCTGATCGTACCTTACCCCAAATGCAGCTGAAACCCTCGTGCATGCATTTGTCACCTCCCGCTTGGATTACTCAATCGCATTCCTCGCCGGTCTCCCCAGCTCCACTATCCAGAAAATCCAGCTCATTCAGAACTCTGCCGCCCGCATACTGACCCGGATCAAACTCCCTCCTCACATTTGCCCAGTTCTGGCCAGGCTTCAGTGGCTCCCCATCACCACACAGATCGACTTCAAGATCCTCACACTCGTATTCAAATCCAGTCACTCCATGGCACCTCCCTATCTCTCCGACCTCCTCACTCCCCAATCCACCACCTGGTGCCTCCGCTCGACTGGCACCGACCATGTATTTGTCTCTTGCACCCTCTGCTCCTTGGAGGTCTCACTTTCACTCACTACGCCCTGAAACTGTGGAATACTCTCCCTCAATCCCTCTGCCCTGCCCCCTCTCTCCCCTTTTTGAAGTCCCACCTGAAAACCTTCCTTTTCGACTGTGCATAAGACTATCTTCCCACCCCCAGCTCGGAATCAGGCTCCGTCCCTGTTAAGCACTCTGAGATGCTACCCTGCGTAGGATGAGGTCGCTATCAGTGCAAATTGTGTGTATGTGTATATATAATATTTTATATAAATATATATTGCTTTTGTGAAACTCAGGATCTTGTTGCTATAAACTCTCTCTTTGTCACTCTCTCAGGTGTCTGAGAAATACAAATGTTCGACAAACGGTCTACCACCTCATATTTTTGCAGTGGCATTTCGTGCGTACCAGTCAATGTTAGGCCGTTTAGCCAGTGGGTCCAAGAACCAATGCATAGTCATCAGGTGAGACAACATGTTTAATAAGCTGAGTTGTGCTGGAGAAACGTGTTGTGATTATTGGGGTTCTGTGGCAGGAGGAAGGGGAAAGAAACTAGCTTTTTATGAGAACCTACATTAAACTTGAGATCCATACAATAACTCGCAATTGTATCGTGACCTTCATGCGGGGTAGCATCTTGGAGAAACAGTGGTGGAGTCTGACAATGAGCCAGAGTGAGAGAGGGGGGGAAAGTGACCATAAGCACAACCAAAAAGGAAGGTCTTTAGACAGGATTTGAAAGTGGGGAGGGAGGGGGCAAGGTGGAGTGATTAAGGGAGAGAGTTCCAGATTTCGGGGCTTAGTGGCTGAAGACATGACCACCGATGGTGCAGAACAACACCAATAACAACAGCAACCAATTACATTTGTGAATTGCAATGTCACAGAACAGCAAAGAAATCAGATGAGTCGAGAACGAATGGTTAGACGATTCCAAAATTGACGTGCAGTGATGTGGTTAATTGTGTTTTCTCTCTTCTGACTGCCCTGTCACTCAACTAACACAGGTCTGTTGCATATTCCTCCAAACCCTATTAGTCCCCCTGTATTCAATGACCGTGCCTTCAGCCACTGCACCCCTCATCTGTGGAATACCCTGCCTTAATCCCTCTGCCTCCTCCCATCTATCTTTAAAATTCACCTTAAGACCTACTACCTCTTGGATCACACCAATGGTCATTGCCCCCTCCCCTTTCTTCCTTACTCGGCATCCGCTTATAAATGCTAGTAGTTGTTTCACTAGAATGCTGCTTAAGCAAAGAATAGAGTTATGCACAGGTTTATTGTTTTTTCTTTCAATGTGACAGTGGAGAGAGTGGCGCTGGGAAGACCGAAAGCACCAAACTCCTGCTGCGACAGATCATGGAACTTTGCAGAGGAAATTCTCAATTGGAACGGCAGGTTCTGCAGGTCAGTGCAATAGTGACCACTTTCTGTTTCTTTCCACCAACCCCTGTACGATAGAAGGAGCGGGCTGTGGCTGCTGATGATGTGTTGTTAACGCACTGAGTATTGCATGCAAATTGACAAGAGTGAGATCATTCTCAAGTCCTTGCCAACTTTGCTTTGAGGAAGGAGAACAGTGATCAAATCACATCAAATTATTTTGTCATATCTGTAGATCACAGACCGACCTCATACCTGTGAAATGTATCACATTTACACCGTATTATATTTGCAACATGAGCTACTGGAATTGTATCTTTGACCTCATAGAAATCTATTGATACACCATTGACATCATCAGTGTTGATGAACTCACGCTCATTTGCTACCTTTGCATTGTTCTTAGTTTTGATTATTTGTCAGGACTATGCACTAGTTCAGTGTTGTAAAGGACGCAAATGCAGTAATGACATTTTTCAATAAAAGACCTATTGGCGTAGCCGAGCCGATCCGATCTTAATTGAGATAATAAGAGCTTCACAAGGTGATATTTTTGGACTCTGTGCAGAAAACGGCAACGTTTAAGCCGCCTTTGTGGCTGAGCATTTCTTGGTTCACTTTCCCTTTGAGGGGGAAGGGGACGAGGTAAGATTGCTGTATAGAGACGTATTTTAGTTCCTCATTGATTCCGCTTAAATTACTATCTACGTGAGTTAGGTTATCTGTCCAATACTCCCCTATCCATACGCTGTTGTGAGAAAGTTTAGCCAAGATCCACTTTCTGATTGCTGGCTCATATTTAAACATAATACAGAAATTACAGAATAATAAAATAAATTACTGAACAACTACTTGAAACTTGAAGCTGTATTTAAGAATTTGCTAAATTCATAGAATTGTATAGCACAGAAGGAAGCCATTCGGCCCATCGTGTCTGTGACAACTCTTTGAAAAGAGCTATCCAATTCAATCCCACTACTATGCTCTCTCCTCATAGCCCTGCAAATGTGTCCTCCCCAAATAATTATCTACTTCTCTCATAAAAGTTGCAATCAAATCGGCTTCCACCACCCTTTCAGGCAATGCATTCCAGATCCAAACAACTCGCTGTGTGAAAACATTTCTCCTCACCTCCCCTCTGTTTCTTTTAACAACTATTTTAAGTCTATGTCCTCGGGTTACCGACCCACTCGCCAGTGGAAATAGTTTCTCCTTGTTCACCCTATTGAATCCCCTCATAATTTTGAAAACTTCTATTAAATCTCCTCTTAACCTTCTCTGCTCCAAGGAGAATAATCCTAGCTTTTCTAGTCTCTCCTGATAACTGAAGTCCCTCATTCTTGATACCATCCTGGTAAATCTCCTTTGCACCAACTCCAATGCCTTGACATCCTTCCTAAAGTGTGGTGCCCAGATTTGAACACGGTCTCTCGCTGAGGCCTAAATAATGTTGTATAAAGGTTCATCATAACTTCCTGACTTTTGTATTCTATGCCCCCATTTATAAAGCCTAGTATCTCGTATGTTTTTTTTTAACAGCTTTATCTACCTGTCCTGACACCTTCAAAAATGTACTTATATGAACCCCCAGGTCTCTCCTTCACCCCCTTTAAGATTGTACCATCAGCTTATATGGCCTCTCCTCATTCTTCCTCCCAAAATGCATCACTTTGCATTTCTCCACAGTAAACTTCATCTGCCACCTGTCCGCCCATATTACCAGTCTGTCCATTTGCAGTCTACTACTATCCTCCTCATTGTTTACTACTTCCTAGCTTAGTATCATCTGCAAACTTGGAAATTGTACTCCCTGTACCCAAGTCCAGTTCATATATAGAGATCAAAAAACAGAAGTGGTTCTAGTACTGACCCCTGGGGGACACCACTGCACACTTCCCTCCAGTCAGAAAAACAACCGGTCATCACCTCACTGCTTTCTGTCTCCCAACCAGTTCTGTATCCGTGCTGCCACTGTCCTCTTAATGCTGTGGATTTCTATTTTGCTTACAAGTCTCTTAAGTGGCACTTTATCAAACGGCTTTTTGAAAATCCATATAAATGACATCAACTGCACTACCTTCATCCACTCTCTCTGTTACTTCATCAAAAAACTCTATCAGGTTTGTTAGATATGATTTGCCTTTAACAAATCCATGTTGGCTGTCCTTTATTAACCCATATCTTTCTAATTGAATATTTATTTTGTCCCAGATTGTAGTCTCTAGAAGTTTCCCCACTACTGACGTTAGGCTGACTGACCTGTAGTTCCCAGGTTTATCCTTTTGGACATTCTTAAAATGTCACATAAAAAGAACAAATCTGGACCTACGTGGAATTTATCTCTTTTTCCTCCTCTCTTTTTCCCCCACACACTGCCCCCCAGCCTCGTATGCATAATTTTTTGTTAATTTCTTACATGTCTCCTCATCAACTGTCTTTTGAAAATGTCTACTTCATTCCTTTTATGTATATTGACTTTATTGTTGTTGATACTACAACAACTTGCATTTATGTAGTGCGTTTCACTCAGGCAGTGTCTCGGAGTATCTATGGTGATGCTTGTTTCTCCAGTGGATTTATCTACTTTAATCCCATTCCGATGCTCATTCTCTGTAACTTTTAACATCAGTTTTCCTCAAGTATCCAGCCCTTTTCCTCTTTAGTGCTCTTATGGACTCTGCTTCAACAGTTATTTGTGCGTTAACCTGATTCAATAAGATGCACGTTCGTCTGTCAGAAAATTGTCCCCACATTGGAACTTGACATCATAAGTCTAAAATGACACTCCAATGCAGTCCTGGGGGTATAATGCCTTGTCAGAGGTGCCATCCTTTGGATGCGATGTTAAACCAAATATCTGTTCCTGTTCAGCTGGATATTAAAGATTCATAGAATGTTACGGCACAGAAGGAGGCCATTCGGCCCATCGAGTCTGTGCCGGCTCTTTGACAGAGCAAGTCACTTTCACTAACATGGCGTTATTCAAAAAGAGAAACAAGATTCCCCCGGTGTCCTGTTCAATAATTCCCCAAATAAAATTGGGCTACCACTGAGTTAAGCAGGAGTTCGTTGTATTATTTGTAGTTCCACGTTCTAATCCAAGTTAAAACTTAAATTAAGTTACATTTTTGGCTGGAACAAAAGTATGATATTTTTATTGAACATATAAAGTCTGGGATTTCCGTGGATATTACATGGAGTTTTCCTCTCGAGTCTTTAAACTGAACTATCGTTGCACTGACATCAGTGTTGATAGTCTGATACTAAAAGTTTGCATATTTTCCCTGTAAATTGGCAGAGTTTGCTGTTTTCCAGACTTCTGGGCTCAGCCTGGAAATGGAGTGAGCCAGCAACTTGTGGGCAAGTTTTTAAACTCCAAAACAAAGAATGAATTGTATTATTTCCACCCAGTTTTCTTTTTGATTTGATAACAGTGGCCCTCTGTCTCTTTCCTGTTGCTTCAAAGAAGCTTTTCCACTTGTGAGCACTCATTTCCCTGGTGACCTGGGCTCTTCCTTTCATCCCTTTTGGATAAAGTTTTGCTAGAGTAGAGTAATTACTTACATTTAAACATGGTAGTATCTCAGAGCTCTTAATAGTGGCAGAGCTTGACACCGAGCCAGGGAGAGGGGGGAGGCGACTTTAGGCATGGTAGAAGATGAAGGACTCAGACACGATGACTGGCAAGGAGGGGACAAGGTGGAGTTATTGAGGTAGAGAGTTCCAAAGTTTCAGGGCGTGGTAGCTACCTATAGTGGAGCAGAAGGGACAAAGGTTGTGCAGGAAGCTGGAGCCAGCTGAGCGAAAGGGGTGGATGAAGTGTGGGTGAAGGCAGAACTCTTTGCTGTCTAATTTGAGATGCAATAGAGACATTTTCTGTGTGTAAAAGTTTTGCAGGCACTTTCTTCAAATAGCGAATCGCTTGTATTGCTTTAAGTCACTGTGTAACATGGTTGCATACAACATTATTGATCCAGTTCAAATTAATGTAAAAATGTTCTTTGAATGAATGGAAGATTGTACTGAACTATATTATCTTAATTAACATGTTCTTTCACTCGTGAAGTACTGTCGTAGCTCATAACCACTGTGGGTTTCAGGGAACTAAAAGACCTTGACAAAAATAGCCTTGCAACAACTTTCTCGCAACTAAAGCCATTCACAATTTGACTGAATTTCACTGCTCGCAACAACAACTATTTATGTAGCAACTTTCACAAAATAAAAAATCTTTGCATTGATCTAGTGCTTTATCAGATTATCAAGATGTCTTAAAGAGCTTTACAAAATTTTACTGTAAAATGCAGTGACACTATTTTGTAGGCAAACATGACAGACAACTTGTATAAAGCAATGACTCACAAACAGCCATGAATTCTCAATTTTATTTTTAATTGAGGGCAATATTGTGCCTGGGTCTGCTTGGAAGTGAGTTGAGACTGTCCAAAATGATTTCGCATTACATCCTTGGGGCCAACAGACTCTTGCAAACAGTGTGCGATTAACGGTTTAAAAAGATCATTAATTTGAGTCGTCTTGATTCAGTTTGCTTGGTTTAGGAAGTCATTAGTGATGACATCATTAGGTTCAATCTGGGAAGAATTACTGAATCCGAAGGTGTGATAACTAGTTAAAAAAAACTGTGAGCTTTAGCGTGCTGAGCTCACAAATCCATCTCCTAATATTTATTTAGCTTCCCTGCAATGATATTGGCAGCAGTGAATACTTTTTTTTCTCCTAGAGGGGAAATAAATATTTGAAGAGTTACTCTCGAAAATGTTCTGCCAGAGTAACTTGTAACTTGCTTTTGTTTAATATAAAAAAAGTTTTCACCTTTCATGTTTATATAATAATATAATAATAATCCTTGCATTTGATATAACGCTTTTCACGTCTGATCGACGTCTCAAAGCGCTTCACAGAATAGACTGTATAGTGAATTGACCGTATATTTGTGGGCGTTTCTTCAGACCATACACTCACTGACCCACTGCAGCACAAAGGGAAGAGGAGTATAATATCCT